ACATGACTGCAGTCCTGGCGACTAGGAGGTTAAGGCAAAAGGATCAAGAATTTAAGGCCTCTCTTGTGAAGAAAGAGGTAGGGAGGGAGGGAGGAAGAACCTGAATATCCATCACAGAAAATGAACAGTTACAGGTTACAGGAATTAAGTGGAATTTTACACAGAGGTTAAACTAAGTAAATCATAAGGGCACAAAAGGAAACTGAAGAACAATTTATACCATTGTGATATCATTTGTATAAAACTTAAGCAAGCACATTTTCAAAAACTGCGCACATATCTATAAATATGGACGAGATTATTGAGAATGAATAGCTAAATAGCCAAGCATTTCCAGAAATGGTGAAAATTCTCCATACATTCCCAGCAAAGAAACAACACAAATGAAATATACTGATCAGCTTGGTGCATTTTCCTGATTCAAAGAGCATTGATCATGCATCAATTTGTGTAACAAGTTACATTTTTTAAAATTATGGTATCTCCTATATTTTATTTTCATGCATAAACACTCCATTATATAAGTTTTATGTGCATACATTACATTTGTATTTGGGATACTTGTCTGTCTGTGAATGATGTGTTTCTTCTGCCCAAGATACATACAAGCAAGAAGCTTGTGCAAATCCAATGATTAAAGATAAGGCAATCTTCATTTGTAGAGAAACGTATTCACTAATTTTCAGAACTTCCGTCTCAGCACTTCTGGACTTCTGTTTCCTACATAGATACAATTTAACTGTTTGACCGAATCTATCTGTTTGTGTCACACTTAGAATTTTGCTTGGCTTCACTCCCATCAGGAAGGGAAGAATATAAATAAAAAGCCATTTGCTGCTTGCAGTGGCATTACAATGGCATCCTTCATCCTCAAAGATGACGCACCTGCTGTGGATTGTGATCTGTAGAGCATGTGATGCTGTCCAGCCTAACGCAGGGACAATAGCTCATCCCACCCTTTGCACCTGCAGAAACTCTTCCTTAATTTGAGGTTGAAGCTCCTGGCAGGACTGTTCCTGTCATCGGCTCTGATTTTTAGAGACCTTGCTGGCATCATTTCTGGAAGGACACAAACATCAAAGCCTTTTGCACCCTCTCAAAAGCTGCTGTTCTTCTGGGTAGTGAACAGTGGGGACCAAGAAAGGATCCAGACATCACAGGACATGTGAAGTGCTGGAGAGAGTCATGCAGGTCTACAGACCTCAAAACATGGTCTCTAGGGCAGGTATATCAGCTTTGCATGGGAACTCTCAGGCCTCACTCCAGACCTGCTCAAATAGAGATGCTAGGGATGTGGTCCAACCATCAGGAACATAAGAAACCTTCTGGGTGAATTTGATGTACCCCAAAATCTGATAACTGTGAATATGTAGAAATAGTGAAGAAATTAGAAAACTGTACATGATACCTGAAAATAAGTCAAGAGTCTGGAAATTAGCTATGGAAAGGGGTTATCGCGCAAATGACACCACATGCATCCAAACACATATGTTTTATTGACACTTAATGAAAATACTGTTTTTATTACCATGGCATAGAGGAGATACTGACTGACAGTAACCAAAAGTACAGAACAATAATAATTTGGATACTGGGAGAAATAAGTGCTTCCTTGAAAAAAAAACAGAGAAAATAAATCCCTGTTGTAGAAGTAAGACATATATGACCAAAGCCTGAACTGTGTTTTGCAAATAATTGTCAGGTGTCTCACACTGACATCGGAACATCTGGAGACCACTGTTGGATGAAAAGGGGAAACTTCAGAGCAATAGGAACGTTATATTTGTTTGTATTGTAAAAACCAGAGAGATATGTAGACATCTCTGCGATTAATGAGAGATGATGACAGAGGTCCCTCCATTTTTACTCTGTACTCTCTACAATGGGGAGGTCTCTAATAAGATGTAATTATAGAACTATGTAGCATCTACTTAAATATAGACAATTAAAAGAAGTCACTTAAGAGTACACTACAAGATTCAAAATGTTGACAATCAAAACTGATAGACATAACCAGATGTTGGTGGCCTAAACCTTTAATCCCACCACTCGAGAGGCAGAGGCAGGTGGACCTCTATGAGTCTTCACTGCAACCAAACTGGTAGAAAGTAGGCACCTAGGTCACTCATAATTCTAAACAGATGCATATAATTTCCTCCTACAGTTTAAAGAGCAGCACCACTCGGTAAATGCTGAGTGAAGTGGAAAAGCATTGACCTCTACTGTCTTATTCTGTCTCCCTAAAAGCTAAGGCAGCTGGTCTCCAAACACCACAGACAGATCCTGGAGGTGAAGGAGGAACTATGTGTCATGCGCAAACAAGAAAAGGAAAGTCCAGGTCGACTTGGCAAACTGCCTACGTGGAAAGTAGGTTAGAGCAACATGCCAATGGAGTTGGTTGGGGTTAGAATGTCTCGGCTGTCATCTATCATTACACATAGCATAATGAATAAAGTCAACTACTGTCCCGTACCTGTGTGGCTCAGGAGGCTTCGTGGCACTGTTACAGAACACCTACAGTTTGCAGGGCACACTCATCCACATCTAGTCACTTATCATATCTAAATAGAAGCCTTCGACCTAGAGCACCCTGGAGCTATTGTGGTTCTGTATCTCTGTATCACTCACCTGCATCTGTGTTTCAACAACACTGCCGGGAAGGCCTCTGTCAAGTTCCTGTTCCAGGTAATTAGGCCTGCCCCTTCTATGAACTCTTCCTGGATACGATGACCCCTT